TGCTACAACTTGAGAAAGCATGCACACAGCAATGAAGACCCAATGCAGCCAAAAAGTTGAAAAAATTAAAAAAAAAAAAAAACTGGAAAACAAAAACAGAGCAATTCTACTCCCATGTATATATACTCAAAAGAAATGAGGGTGTATGTCCGCTAAAAGACTTTTAAGTAAATGTTCATAGCTGCTTTATTCACAACAGCTAAAAAAAATGAAGTATATCAAACATCCATTAATGGTGAATTTTTTTTTAATGTATATATTCATCCAACAAAATACTGCCATCAGTGAAAAAGACCAACTACTGCTGTACCCAACATCATGGGTGAGTCTCACAAACACAATGTTAAGTAAAAGCAGCCATTCACAAAAGTATATACTGTATGGTTCCACTTATATTAAGTTCAAGAACAGGCAAAAGTAACCTATGGTGATATAGGTCAAAATGGTGATTACTTTGCGGGGGTGGGGGGCGGGGGAGATACAGATTTGGGAGGACCCATGAGAGACCCTTCTGGAGCACTAGGAATGTTCTATACCTTGATCTGGGTAATGGGCCTATGTCTACAACTGGAAAAATTCATTAGGGATACACTGAAATTTGGCCACTTTGCAATTCTAAAAAACATAATGATACTTTCTCTAAACAAGTTTTTAAAGAAATTAATGGAACATTCAACTGGATCCCACAACAGGAATTAATCAAAAGGGAAATTTTCTAAGGTCTTATACACAAAGATCTTTATTTCAAAGTTATTTACAATAGGAAAACAACTGGAAATAACACTTAATAAATGAGTGTCATGTAAATTCTGGATTTCTCTGCTGTGGAACAGAAATTATTATTCGGTGTCTTTCTGTTACTAGCAGCCAAACTTAATACTTATTAACCCAAAAAAGCCATCTGCCAGAGGGAAGAGCATGTTCATAGGCTCCAAGGCAAAAAAGAGCTTGGCTATTCAAGGCCCAAAGAGTAGCCTAAAGGAAAAAGATAATGCCAAGAAATGCAGCTAGAAGCTGGCAAAAGCCAAATCATGGAAGGCTTATAGGGCTTTCTAAGAATATGTAAAAAAAAAATGTAAAAAAACATAGAAAAACTAATGTATTTGGGTTGGCCACAAAGTTCATTCGGGTTTTTCCAAACTTTTTGGCCAACCCAAAATCTGACTTCCTAGGGCAGCAAAAATTCGGGGTTGGGGGGCGGGGGGGGGGGGAGGTTGTACAGGAAGTATTCTAAATGTTTCTAAAAATAAAAATGTTGCTTAAAAACATATAGTATCTGGAAGTGATCAAGTATTTCCAAAAACCTTTCCAGTGCCTTGTTTAATTAATAAAATGTTTCTACAATATAGCTGGAATACTCAAAAAATACAATGAACATTAAATTCTTTGTTATATTTATTATTTGAATTGATCTAAATGCAACATGATTTTGAAGCATGCATGTACTGAAAGTTTGGGAAGGCTGATTCATTAAAAAAAAGAAAAAAAAAAAAAACCTTTTCAATGCACCCGTTTTTTAAAAGATCTCTCCAAGCCATACTCTCACTGCTTTATTCAACTGGTCTGTTTGAACAAAAGCAGAAATTATTCATACCATACTTATCCAATTCAGCACTCCTTAGGTACAATTTCAGGAAAAAAGAACAAGAGAAACAGTGTTTCCACAGTTTATTTTAGCAGATAATTATTTAAACAAATAAGAATAAGCCATTATAAACAACCAAACAATAAAAGAAAAATAGCTTCTAATTTTTCTAATTTGTTTCAGGCCAAAAAAGTAAAGCATACCCTCCAGAGATATTTCACCTGATAGTTTTCTGTGCTGTGTTATACCATTCAACTCTTGCTACATCAATGTAACAAAAATACCAAGGAAACCCTATGCTGCTGGTATTAACAGAAACTTTAAAGTTAAGAGGGAAAAAAACGTGAAGAACAAACATATAAAAGCTCTCTAACTCCCCAAATGGAACAAATGGTTTACAGAATGTTTTGCTCAATAAGCAGATTGCTCAATAATCTGGTTCTTGACAGATGAACAAAATGAAAAAATAGCAAAATGTAAAAGTGTTACTGTTCTATCAAAAAGAGAAAAAGGGGCTTCCCTGGTGGCACAGTGGTTGAGAGTCCGCCTGCCGATGCAGGGGACACGGGTTCGTGCCCCGGTCCGGGAAGATCCCACATGCGGCAGAGCGGCTGGGCCCGTGAGCCATGGCCGCTGAGCCTGCGCGTACGAAGCCTGTGCTCCGCAGCGGGAGAGGCCGAGGCCATGGCAGTGAGAGGTCCGCGTACCTCAAAAAAAAAAAAAAAAAAAAAAGAGAAAAAGAACATTTAGTTAGGTCAATAAACTTAGTCACCTAATAAGTCATTGTTCACATCTACTTTCAAGGCTCCCAAAGATTCAAGTCTCTTTTATCAAGAGAATCAAACAAACTAAAATCCAACAGTGAAACTTCTAAGAGATTCATTTTTAGTGAGTCAGGACTCAACAGTGGACATGACAGTATTATTTTTGTTAAAGCTGTTAATACATCCAACAAGCTAGAAGTCTCTATGTAGACTTTAAATCACTGTTTCAATGATTCAAACAATGCAAGTCATGAAGGTTCCCCTGCCCTCATACAGAAGTTTTGAATCTATATCAGAAGGCATTAATACACAAAATGCAAAGTAATGTGAAGCAAACAATACAAAATGACATTGCAAGAGATGAAAAGAAGTATAGTTTCATATAGAATACACAATTTTTTTTTTTTTAATATACACAGCTTGAGTTAGGAAGTCAAGCAGGAAATCAAGGTTTGAGTCTCAGCTCTGCCACCATCACTAGGTGAATTTTAGTGCAGTTAGTCTGTATGGATTACGTTTTCCCTATCTATAAAACAGATGGTTGGATTCCAACGTTCCTACAATATTGTTCCATAGTATTATGATACAAGTCCACATAAGATTAAAAACCAAAGGAATGATAAAACACTAAGGGCAGTGCGTTCAAAGGAAAGCAACAACACAGAGAACAGAAAGATCTGGAAGGTTGCACTAAAGGACCAAAAATGAAACTTCAACAAAATTTGCCACTTAATTTAAGGAGGAAAATTCCTTTTAAAGAACGCAGGCTATACGTAGGCAAAGTCTCAACAGATACCAAGGTAGAAAAATACAAAGTCTAAATGAGAACAAGAGATTGGGTTGGTTAGGGTGGACAGCTCCTATAGAGAATTAGTGCCATCATTAGAAAAAACAGGTTTTGAGCAGATTGTTAGAAGGCTGGGAATTCTGAACTATACTCTGTAAATAACAGGGAACTATTGCTGGTTTAACAGTGAGGGCGTTGGAAGCATTATTTTAAGAACAGGCAGAAGGCAGAACATACTGAGTAGGGAGAAAAGACAGGCAGAAAACCCAGTTAAAAGCTAGTGGGAAGGAACAGATATCTGAAAGAAATTTCAGAAAATGGTTAACAAAAATTGGTCAGTGTTAAGTTATGTGGATAGAGGAAGTCAAAGATAAAACCAAGGTTTATGTCTGGGTAATTTAAGGCATGATAAAATCACCAAAACACAGTCAGCATATGGAATCAGTTTTGAAGGGAAGACTATAAATTCTATCTTTCAAATAAAGTAAGCATCCAAATAGAATTGTTGCCTTATTAAACAATCTTTAAATGTCATTTGTGGCCCTGTCAGCTGTCTTCCTAAAACAGCACAGCAAAGTATTCACGGAGAATTTGTTAAATGCTTAGTAATTTCAAGAGTTTCCTCTAATTCTACTTATTGACCAAATAACTAAATAATCATTTAGTCTTCTGGTGTAGGTAGACAACATTTGGTATTTTTCCATATTATAAAGGTGAGTAAATTGTAAAAATTATTAATTAAACTATAAGAGGGAAAAAATGGACTGCAACTGTATTTATCAATTCTTCCTGACATGTGATTTATAACAATAATCACATCAAATCTACCTTGAGTTTTGGCAGGAAAGTTCTCAAAGGTTCAAAAGAAAAATGAACCCAGTGGCATAAAGCATCATTCAATATCTAACAAAATGTTCGAAGCTTTATTTACATGGACCTGAAAGCACTGGTAACATCTGGACTAAAGATAATACTTAGAAAAGTAGAGCAAACAATTTAAAATTTAATACATGAACAAGCACAGCTGAGAAATCTTGAACATTCTGCAAACTGTTCACAGATGACAATTTTCCAAAGAAGAAAATCCCAAAGTTTGTGATCAAGATGAAATAAAACTAATATTAATCAACCAATGCATAGTTCTTGAGTTTCTATCAAACTTTGAATGGGATGCCTGTTTAAGAGCCGACCCCATTGACTCTGTGAACTCGCTGAAGGTTGAGACTTTAGGCACAGTGCTTTCCAAGTGCTTAATAAATTGTATAGTTGGTCTTTCATAAATCTACCAAAGTAAGATTTTTAACAATGAATACCTCTTGCAACACTTACCCGTTCTGACCGGACACTGAGTGAGCTTCTTTGCTCACCACCCAAGATGGGGTTAGAAATTTCTCCTTAACCTTATTCTTTCATAACTCCCATGGTTTATCACAAAATCTAACGGGGTAGAATTATTTTTAGGTGACTAGTTCATTCGTTCGACACTAATTAGGCGTCTATAATGTCAGAGTTCTCAGTCCCGAACAAAATCCAGCTTCCCGAGCCTCTTACGGCAAATTTAACTTTCATGGACACACATAAGAAAGGTTACAAAACTATCGAGATACATTTTCTTTTCTTACCGGATATATTACAACTCAAGTCAAAAGCTCACAGCCCAAGCAACTCGCGTACTAATCTACAGCAGGTCCATAAGATTAAAATAACCCAGCTTTCCCGAGGAGGAGGGAAACGGCTGGGGGTGGGAGGAGGGGCGGGAGGCGCATCCCGAAGACGTCCACCCTCCTCAAGGGGAACGGCTCCCTCCCCCTCCTCGCGGGCTGGAGGTGAGCGCGCCCCTTTCCCTCCACTACCACATCCCTACCTTCGCGGCCTCCGACTGCGCCACAACAGCCAACAGGACTTTTGGGGAGAAAAAGAAACGGGGAAGGGCGCGCGCCTCACACTCGATCTCCCAGCTTCGCGGGGGCGGCCGGCCGCGGCGCTCACCCCGACCCGACGTTCCGGGGATGGACCGGGAGGCCGCGGGGCCGCGCCGCCCGGGGCAGTGGCCGGAGGGTCGCGCGGAGCTCCGAGGCAAACGCCCAGGCCCGGCCGAGCGGCCTCCCCGCCCCCTCCGGCTCAGCTCCGGGCCGGCAGACGGCGCCCCGGGGGCTAACTTCGCCGGGGAAGAGGAAGCACCGTGGCAAGTAACAGGCTCTGTGGATTCCCGGAGCAAGGAAAGGCTGTTCTGTGCGTCTGCCTGCCGGTACAACCGTCTCACCTCCCTTCTGCCGAGCCCGGGTGGCCCCAGCTCACCTGAGGAGGGCACCGGGACGCCGCCGCGGCCGCCGCGATGGCCGTTACGGCACGAGGCCTCCGCTCAGCCGCCGCGTAGCTCTGAGGAGAGGGGCGGGGCGCGCGTGTCGAGAGGGCGGGGCTGCAGCGCCGAATGGTCGCGAGGCCGTGGGCGGATCCGCGCGGGCAGGAAACCCCCTCCCTGCCCAATCCGATAGGCTCAGTCTCCCCTTCCACTGACGCGACAGCCGTCTGCGCCGCGCTGGGATTGGGCGGGCTCCTTTGTCAATCAAGCGCTGTGCTGGGTGTGGAGCGAGCTGAGGCGGCTCCGCGGAGAGGGAGTGAGAACGCAAGAAGCTCCCTGCTTGACTCTGAGTCTTGTTGCTTTTGTCTCCCCGGCTGTTCTGGCTTATTACTCTGGGCCTTCCTCCTCAGCGCCACAGGAGATTCTACGGCAGAAATGACTGCTGCCCGAGTTCAACCCCGACTGCTCTGGGAGCTTCTTTCTGGTTTCTGCACCAGAAGGTCTTGCCAGCGGAAGGTTCTTAGGGGCGGGGAGCGAAAAAGAAAAAACAAACAAAAAGGCCTGGAAATGGGGACCTGAGAGAAAAATGTAAGACATATGCTTAATTTGAGCCGCAAACCGAAATAAGCTGAGTCTGAGGGCCTTCAAAGTACCCTGGTTTTTGGGTAGCTTCCCGTCTTGGCTGCGGTAGCCTTGCTGTGAGGGGGACAGTGACCTTGGGTGCCGGGTCTGCCCATTCTTAGCGGCCCAGCCCCAGCCGTCAATAAGTTGGTTCTCTTGAGACCCCCGCTGCAACCCCCAATCACCTGCCTCGTTTATTCCCAGACATCTCTGGGGCTCTGCTTAGGCGATGCCCCCTTAGGGAAGCCTGCTGGGGTGCACAGGTATTTTCCCCATCCTGCTGTTGAAAGGGCCTGTCCATACCCCTACCTGATTGTAAACTCAATTAAGTCAGGAACCATGTCAGTATTCCGTTTTCCCCAGTGCCTAGCACGTGGTAGATCGTCAGTAAATATTGTTTAAAGCATGAATACATCTTCCATTCCCATTTTAAATCCTGGTCCTGACTGTAAATTCCAAGAGTTTATGCTTTTCTGTATTTAACTTCAAAATTATTCGTTTGGGTCCTGATAGAGGAATGTGGTTCTCTTGCCATATATAGGATCACAAGGTCAAGCACAAATCACCCATGGTCCCTTCCTGGCCTCAAGTTGACTGGGGCAAATGGATCACGAAATTCTGGGCAAGTACTCTGTCTATATCCCATAATTAGCATCTAAAGTCAATAATATTAAGTGAATTTTGGATTTATTCTGAGGGTCTAAATACCTGTGTATATTTTATCATGGCTGATGTGGACTGAATTGTGTTCCCTCTCAAAATTCATATGTTGAAGTCCTAACCCCCCAGTGTGACTGTATTTGGAGATAGGGCCTTTGAAAGGTAGTCAAGGTTAACTGAGGTGATAAGAGTGGGGCCCTAATCCTGTAGGATTAGTGTCTTTATAAGAAGAGGCAGTAGGAAGAGACAGCAGAGAGATTGCTTTCTGTCTTCACAACAAGAAGACACAGTGAGAAGACAGCCATGTGCAAACAAGGAAGAGAGCTCTCACAAGAAACTAACCATACTGGCACCCAGATGTCGGACTTCTACTAGTCTCCAAAACTGTGAGAAATTAAATTGTTGTTTAAGCCACAGTCTGTGGCATTTTGTTATAGCAGCCCAAGCTGTCTAATACAATAGTTTTATTTGTTGATACATTTTATAAAGTTTATGGATTGAGATATTATTACATTCATTTTTGAAACTATATAAACCATTGTCCAGAGGTTGAAACTATTTCTCCAAAATCACGTGGCAAACTGTTAGCTACACCTGGCTCAATTCAATTCTAGTTACATGTGATGGGATTAGGGAGTGTGAATACAAATATAACAGGTAAAATATTCCTTGCCATCAGGTAGCTTATATCACTGCCTTAAGTGGAGAAATTAAACCCAGAAAAAATATGCTGAAGTCATAAGTTTAGATTTTATTTTGTATGGGAATATGTATTTTGAATGGGCCAATTATCTGAACAGACCCTTTGTGAGATTTTGATCCAGATCTATTGACTACTGTGTGCCATCTATTTAAGCAGTAGAAGAAGTAAGGGAGCTTTTTCATAAAAGGATTTTAGTTCCCTGTAAATATGTGTTTTTCTTTTAATCTCCCTTTAAAAGTTCCCTCATCACCCTTTCTTACCAGGAACTCTTAAAAAAAAAAAAAAGAAAGAAAGAAAGAGAAACTAAAAAGATATATGAAAAAGAGAAGGAATTGAAGAAGAAATAAGGAAACAGCAATGAGAGAGGAAAGCATTGGGTGGAAGGGTAGATAGACAGAAAGTCATATATTACAGTATGGTGTACTTAGAAGAATGGAGTCCATGTTCGTAAGGGGTGGGAGTTGTCCCAGAGACCTCCTTTCACACAGTCTGTCTCCCCAACTTCCAAATGTAAACATGCGCTTGGCTTCTTCTTTCTCTCTTTTAAAAGCAGAACTCAAACCAAAAATAGGAATCAACCCTGCTTATCCGTTATGAGTGGACTAGGAACTAGCCAGGATCAGGCAACAACATTTAGGTCAAAACTTATGACCTAAGGACTAGAAATGGGGCCTCAGATACAGGTAGCTAATCTGTCTAGGATAAAAACATGTAGACAGTTCACTTCATTCATTCCAAAGGAAAGAATCTGGGAAGAAAAGGAAAGGAAAAATGAGCCTCCATGTCTTAAGACCTTTCCCAGGAAACTATGGAGGGCTTATTGTTGGAAATGCTTAGAACTTCCCTGGTGGCACAGTGGTTAAGAATCTGCCTGCCAATGCAGGGGACACAGGTTTGAGCCCAGGTCCAGGAAGATCCCACGTGCCGCGGAGCAACTAAGCCCACGCACCACAACTACTGAGCTTGCGCTCTAGAGCCCGCGAGCCACAACTACTGAAGCCCGCACGCCTAGAGCCTGTGCTCCGCAACAGGAGAAGCCACCGCAATGAGAAGCCCACACACCGCAAGGAAGAGTAGCCCGCACTCGCGGCAACTAGAGAAAGCCTGTGCACAGCAACGAAGGCCCAACGCATCCAAAAATAAAATTTTAAAAAAAGAGAGAATGATCTGGTTTAGCATCACTGTAAGGACTATTTAGGACAAAAAAAAACCTATCTACTAATCAGTAAGAAGAAAGTAATCACAGGCTTGACTGTGAAGTATAGAAATTAGTGGACCCTGGTAACTAAATTCAATTTCTATACTGAGTAATGTTAGTCTTCTATGGTAATTAATTCAACAAAAATTGATTGAGTCCACTCTGTGGTAAGCAGTACAATAGATACCAGAGACCTAAAAATCAGTCCTCAACTTAAAGGAGCTCCATTCAATGTCAGAGAATTAGATTTAAACAGGTACTTATTTGTATAGTAAATACAGCAATAGATATGTACAGGGGGACATTAGTCCACAGGGGGAGGGGTGTGTGTGGTCAAGCTAGTCAGGCAAGTAAGTAGGCAAAGAAGACAGGGTCCTTCCACATAGAGGGGCCTGCGTTTAAAAAAAAAGGTATTACACAATAGTAGAATATTGCTAGAGCAGAAGATGACTAAAAGTGTAAACAAGAGTGGGTTATGCAAGTTAAGGGCCTTAGACTTTATCCTATAGGCAATGAGAAGCCATCAAAGGGTTTTCTTACAGCACTTTAAACTCATTCTGTTGTTTTCTGGCCTCTACTCTTTCTGATAAGAAGCCAGCTGTAATTCTTATCATTGTTTTCCTGTGTGTCATATATCTTTTCCTCTGGCTGCTTTTAAGATTTTGTTTATCTTTGTTTATCAGTAGTTACACTATGTTTCCAGGTGTGATTTTCTTTGTATTTATGATGCTGGGGGTTCACTTATTTCCCTGGATCTGCAGATTGCTGGTTGTATCTTTTTACCCAATTTGGAAGACTTTTGGCCAGTATTTCTTCAAATCTTTTTTTATGCCCCATTCTCTCTCTTCTTCTGTGACTACACTTACACTTATACTAGACTTCTTACTCCTTAGTACAGGTCATTCCAGGCTCTGTTCATTTTTTTTTCAGATCTTTTTGTTTCTGTGCTTCAGTTTGGGTAATTTCTATTGAGAGCCAGTAATTCCTGAAAAATCTGAATGTTAACATTTTCCAAAAGTACAAACACCCTACAAATGACTTTGGGTTCCTTTTGGGGTATCTTTGAAGGCATATTAGGAGAACAGAAATCACAAGATATTACAACAGAGAACATAGTATTGGATGTTGATGGACTGGAAAAGCAAAAAGGAAACACTGAAGCAGCCCAGATATGATAACTATAGAGAGCAGCTAGAACCCCTAGGAGTAGTGAAAAAGAGGAATCAAGGTTGGATCATCAGGTCTCAGGAGCTCAGAGGAATGACTTGCTGACCTGTAGCTTATACCCCTGGGAGGATGCTGTGCAACTGGTCCTGCTGCTACTGAGAGGGAGATGATGAGGCTGGGTAGCGGGTGGAGGAGTGCCAAAAGAAGCTTAAGGCTGAGATCAATTGCTGCTTCTGGACCAAAGGGCTCTTGCTTATTGCGGGGGTAAAAATGACAGAAACTGCAAGCAAACAGAAAGGAGGAAGTCCTTTATCCTCTCTGTTTTACAGTCTCCCTCTAATGCCCTTTTTTGGTGGAACCTAGTGAGACCAGCTGGCATAGGAAAAATGTAGTTTGCAGGGTCTGATTCATAGCATCACAGAGGAGAGTTATAGATGGGTGTATTTGAAGTTAAGATAGCTCAATAACGATAGCTTAATAAGCAATACCATATCAACATTTGTTTGTGCTAAATTAGTAAAAAATTCCCAAATCTATGTGGTTTTACAGACTTTTAAGCTCTTCTGAAAAGAATCTCAGGACACAAAGTTTTCAGTTTTCTGCTGTACTATGATTACTGTTAGTGTCTTTTTCAGGGGTAAGGAGTACCTTTACTGCAGCTCACACATATACTTACTACATAAACAAGGGCAGGTTTGGAAGAGATCTGCATAACTGAGGATGAGTAGACCCTCCCCCAACATTCTATCTCCCACCATAAGGCACAAAATGGCATAGACTAAGTAGAGCTGGCAGGAATCCAAGCTTTTCCCTCCCTCCATTTACTCTGCATTGCCTAATGTGGCCTCAGCAAGGGGAAGACCAATTTCTTCTAAGGTAGGACAACCACCACTGCCAGTGAAAAACCAGCTCCTTTCCTTCGTTCCCTCTTTCTTGCCTCAACTCACTCAAGCTACTCTACCAAGCCCAATCACCTCTAGTTTTCTAATGCAAATAGGTGACAAAACAGGGCTTGGTATTCAGCATTTCACCTTATAGATTTTTGAATATCGAAGGATTTTTGTTGAACATTTATAGAACATTGGGCATGAACATTTTACTAATTTTTGAACTTCAGGACCACAGAATTTCCATCTGAAAGGAGTCATTTCTTCAAGTCTTATGTTCTTTAGTGATAAAAGTTAACATTCTCTACCCTTTTATTATTTATAATAAATAATCATTTTTATAATAAAAATTGCCTGTTATTATTAACAGCAAAGAGACCAGATTCATGATATTCCACATAATTTAGTATATGTTTTTAATTTATTAGACTAGAATAAATTTTTCCCCGTCTGCATATATTAATTATATAGCACTCTGTCAGTTATACAACACATTTCTAGATGAACATTAAAATGTCTGTGTACCTATTAATAACTGAACATTAACAATAATCAGGTATTCACTTAATGGGAGAGTCTAGTATTTCCTGATAATCCTGCCTTCTTAAATTCCTCCAGTAAAGTTTATAGCCAGCAAGGACAAAAACACTAATCATAATGATTACCCCTCCAAAGACATCATAGACACTAGGAAATATATGTAACACTAGGAGCTGCAACACCATGGCTACCACAATCTCCAGATGTTGCACGGTGCTGACCAAAGCTGGATGGAATTTGTCCAAGGCATAATAAACTCCTAAGAAGGCTGCAGTAGAACAAATGCATATAGCAATGAGATAACTCCAGGTTTCTCCATCTAATGGGATGATGGGTTCTTGAAGAACGAACATAGTAGATACTCCCCAGACTGTCCCAGTCCAACCAAAGGTAAACAGTGCAGTCCACATGCTGATCTTCTCCTTAATGGATCTGTATACTATCATGGAAAGAGCAGTGGTCAGTCCAGCCATCACGGTCATAGTGTACCCAAAGGCTTCTTTCCAGGCATTTAACAAAGAATTATCTTCATCAACAATGTTGGGGATCATGACAAGACAAACACCTAAGATGCTGCAAACAACTGTAGCCGTGTCAACATAAGCCATTTTCTCATCTACAAGTAAAAAAGCCAAAATGGCACTGAAGACTGTGGTTGTGGCTCTCCACATAGTGGTCCCATTGCTGGGAGGAACTATTGAAAATGATGTATAAGCACAGGTGATAGAGATGACATTGCATACACCATAAAAGAAGAGTCGCAATCTGTATCCACTGGGTCCAAAGGGGGCTTCCTGGTAGTAACACACAACTAACACAGATAAGACCTGCAAAACAGAACGGATAAAAATCAGTTCTAGAGATGGAACTTTGGAACGATCAGAAACAAGCCTAGTGATAAGAGCTACACATCCATGAGCCAAAGCAGATCCAAACAGCACTATCCACATTTTTCTGGATTGAAAAATATTTTTTTCTGCAAAAGTTTGGAATTGTCCAATCTCATTGGTCATTGGGTCTTCTGTTGGTGGATGTTGAGTATCCATGGTTCCAAAGAAAGTTCTTCCTTTTCTTTTCATTTCACTCAGCAGGCCTTTCTTTGGATTTTCTTCCATAAAATTTCCATAGTCTTCACTGATTTCTTCATATCCATCATCCCCAGGCTGAGGATAATGAGAAGTATATTTCACCATCACCGTGTCTGGGTGTATTTTCACCCGTTTTTTAACTGGATATTTTTTGGAGGGAGAAGTATCCATTTCTTCAGGCAATCAATTCTATTTAAGAGGGAAAAAAAAAGACAAATGTACATATTCATCACTTGAAATATAGTTTTAATTTCTATTATAATCATATGTACCAATTCAGTAACAGACAGTAGAGGTTGTAACAGGAGGTTTTTTTTAAAAAGTAATAGGAAGAGATGATCTGGCAATATGCCTTATCAGATGTATGAAGCCCAATGAAATTGTCTACCCTTTTTTCACTCTCATCTTAAGTCTGCCCCTATGTCTCATTCTGATTTTTCTTTGTCTCATTAAGCTGTATTTTCTTTACATCACAAACAACTGATATTTTTCCATTTGTTCATTCCTCCCTCTCTACGCATCCAATAAGATAAACACAGAAAAATAAACGACAACATAGATCAAACCTTTCCTTCTCATTGTGTCCATTTGTCTGTATTATAAATTATAATGATTAAGTCCAAATTCTTTTGTATAATCACTTCTGTATGATACCCAAACTAGTCTTATATTACAAATTATAGTGATTTTTTAAAATGTTTTTTCTGGCTTCCCATACACTTTCAGATATATGGGATGCACTGAAATTAGAAAATAAATAAAATGGATTTCGTGACATTCATGCATTTTTGCTATATACAGCTTTTCTGATGAGCAACTGGGCAATATGTTTAAGATTTTAACTAAAACTACCCTTTAATTCAGCAATATCACATCTAAGATTTTACCCTAAAGAGATGATCACAAGATGCATTTTACCTTATGTTTTTTTTTAAAAAAAGGAAAAAATAAGAGTACATATTTATATTTGTTTATATAATATAAAAAGTATAACAAATGAATTATGGAAAGAGACAAAGGAAGCTAATAATCATTGGGGTGGGACAGGAAACAAGAATAGAAGGAAACATTTTTACTGTATACTTTTTACTATATTTTTTGAATCATGATAATTGTTTAAAATTAAATTACAAACTAAAAGAAAAGTTCATCTGTTACTGAGAAAAAGAGAGCATACAAAAAGGTGGGGAAAATGTATGAATAGGAGAGTTCATTGTAGCTTACCAGAATGACCCTCGATACTATGCTATGCAGCCATTAAAAATGACAATGCGGATCTTTACTGACATAGAAGGATGTCCATGACATATAAAGGATTTGCCATAGTGCTGGCATATAGTAAACTCTCAATGAATATTAATAAATTCAGCTTCCTTTCACCTATAATTAACTCTTTTGAAACACTGGGTGTCTTCTACAATGTTATTCTTTCTTTGAGACCTGTATTTGTTCACTTAGTTCTCTTTAGTTCTTTCCCCTCTCCCCAAGAACAATTTCCTATTTCCTTCCCAATGATTTCGCCCCTCCCCTCTAAAACATAAAAATTTTTAAAAAGGAAACCTTTTTATTTTTTGTCTTCATGACATATTCCCTGTTGCTTGCCAAAAACTCACCAGTTCTAGGATCTTAAACCATGGTCCAGAAATCAAATCCTATTTTGTTCTTTAACACCATCTGGGTAAACCAACTGTTCCTATTTACTCCTTTCTCTTCTAAATGACACCACCTTCAGTTGGAAGAGTCATTTTAAAAAACACCACCTGTGCCTCCAAGCCCTTCAGTTCCTAGCATGGACCCCCCCAACTTGCAGTCCTTCATGCATATTGCTATCAGGCTAATCTGGATGTTCTCTTTTTTCAACTTTTATTAGGATATTTCCACTTCAAATCATGACTTTAGCTTCAATAATCACAAACTGAATTAACAGTCTTGGTCTCCCAAATAGATTTTCCTTCCCTAAATTCCTCACTTATGTTTGAAATACCACCATCTTTCTAGTTCCCCAAGCTAGAAACCAAGGAATACTCAATTATCCTTTCTGCCATCACACTCCATTTGGTCATCAATCTTATTGTTTTTGTCTTTGAAATATTTCTCAGATTTTTCCTTTCTCCTCCAATTCCATTTTACCTTTGTGATTCTGGATCAGGTTTTTATGAATTCCCATCTAGAATATTGCAACAGTATCCTGACTAGCCCTCTTGGATCCCAGTCCTTCTCCCCTAAAATCCAACTATACTATACCACTGTCACATTAATGCCTTTAACAGATTCAGAACAAAACAAAAAACTTCCCTCAGGCTTTCCATTCAAGAACCTACAAGCTTTCCTACCAACTACGTCATTGGTCTCTACTCCTCTGCCTAACTCTCAAGACCCTGCCTAGTCTAGCCCCTATCGATACTTAGCTCCTTAACAAACATACTTTGCTCTGATCAGTCCAGTGTTCTCCCTGTCCTGACTCCCCACATGTGCATGTTTCTCTAAGCTTTTATTCTCACTAGCTTCCCCTCTGCTCCCACTTTCTAAATACTGCTCATCTTTTAAGGAGGCCCAGTCCAAATCTTGCCTTTTAGAAACAAGCCTTCCCTGACCACTCTAGCCACTTATTTTTTTCTTCTTTGTTTAACATCTGCAGTAGTTCTTATAATTTTTGTAATCTCATCATTTTGTTATTTAGTTGTCTCCATCAGTGGAATTTTGTCTCCAGTCATTGTACCCAAATTTGCTGTTAAATCTCTTTTCCTTGCTAGTCAGCAAATATCTTAATGATACCTCAGTTAGATCCCATAACTTCCCACTTGCTTAAAATTGTTAAAGTTGTGTCTTATATCCTTTCAAAGCTTTCCCCTTCCCACTGCAGGCCAGATTTGTAGCCCCAGGGGCACAAATAGGGGAAGGACATATTCTGTTGGTTTACTCCTTCTCCCTTTCCCTCCTTTTGGAGTCCTTGGGAGGGCAGTATGGTCTACCTCTGGGACACCTCCTCCATCTCTCTAGGCTCCAGCTCCCCTGGTGTATTGGCACAGGGAGGAAGGAAAAGGAAAGGACACATATCTCATACACTGGCTGTTGTTGTGTGATGGCTTTTTGATATATAAACTTGGCTAGGCTGAACTACATTCTCTAGTTATTTAATCAAACACTAATATAAGTGCTGCTGTGAAGGTTTTTGCAGATGTGATAGAAGTCCCTAATCAGTTGACTTTAAGTTAATAAAAGAAAGACTATCCTGGGTGGGCCTGACCTAATCAAGTAAGCCCTTCCAAAAACGGATTAGGCTTTCCATGATTTCACAGATTCCAAACAATTCATGCCATTGGGGTTCTAGCCTGCTCATGACCTTCCTTTCCTTACTACCTGTGGACAAGAAGCTTTGGCCTTTGCTCATGGGTTCCAACATGCTCCTGATCTTTTCTTTCTGACTGCCTGCCCTACAGACTACAAACTTCCTTATCCAGCCACCACAGTTACATTAGCCAATTCCTTGTAATAAATCTCCTGTTGGTTCTGTGTCTCAGGTTGAACCCTGACTCTAATACATGGTGAAATTCTCTCTTTGATTATTGTCTTTGTTTCTGTGCTAACTCTGATAGGCCATTGATACTCTGTAGGTTGCAGGCATCCAAATGCAGGCTATCTTACATAAGTTCTGTAGAGCCTCCCCAGTGCACAAATTCCTGATGTGGGGGAGTCTCCTGCCCTGGGGATATGGCCCACAGGTTTTTTTTTTGTTTTTTTTAATTTTTATTTATTTATTTATTTATTTATTTTTGGCTGTGTTGGGTCTTTGTTTCTGTGCGAGGGCTTTCTCTAGTTGTGGCAAGCAGGGGCCACTCTTCATCGCGGTGCATGGGCCTCTCACTGTCGCGGCAGCCTCTCTTGTTGCGGAGCACAAGCTCCAGACGCACAGGCTCAGTAGTTGTGGCTCACGGGCCTAGTTGCTCCACAGCATGTGGGATCTTCCCAGACCAGGGCTCGAACCCGTGTCCCTTGCATTGGCAGGCAGATTCTCAACCACTGTGCCACCAGGGAAGCCCAGCCCACAGGTGTTTGCTGTTTGGGTCCTCTTGCCGGGTGGGCAGTTCTCTTGGTTAGGCACCAAAAGTATTCACTTGACCCCAGGAAAGTCACATATCCTTACCACTCCAGTGAGTATATAGGCCACTCACCACTGCCCCCTTCTCTCCAATTTTCTCTTTCCTCGAGCAAGCAAAGAGCAAATTAAAATGTGCTTTCTAAGCAGACTTCCAATTGGAGAGCAAGAAAGCACACCCAATCATTGTAAATAATGATCTGGTAACTTTCACCCTCAGTTGGCTCTAAGGAGGAACATCCCTCTGCCCTCCCCATTAGGAAAAAGCACAACATTCTTCTTAGACCAAGGACCCACAATAGATAATATGATCCCTTTGACAGACTGCATTTTCCAAAGAGAGTCACTAGTCTAGTATCTCCCATACTACATGTCTGGTTTTGTAAAATGTGAGTTTGACATTATTAAATAGAGAGGTAGGGTCTATATTCCCTCCCATTAAAAGTAGCCCTGCTTTTGTGACTGTTTCAACGAATAGAGTATGGTAAAAGTGACCTATTATGACTTCTGAGGCTAGGACATAAAAGGAAATATAGCTATTCCTTCCTAGCTGCAATACTTGTGCTTGGAGCTCTGAGCCACCAAGTAAGCAGTCTGACTGCTCTGAAGTCACCATGCTGTAAGGAAGCTCAAACTAGCCCATGTAGAGAAACCACATGGAGAGGTCCTGAGACCACCTGAAGAGAGAGAAATTCCTGGTAAGCCCCCAGCTGCTCCAGCCCCCTGCTGTTCGAACTCCAGCCACCCATCTGTCTTCAAGTATATAAGAGACCCTGAGTCAGGATTGCCCTGCCAAGTCCTTTCCAAATTCCTGATCTATAGAAACCATGACAGATAATAAAATGATTGTTGTCGTTTTAAGCCACTAAGCTTTGGAGTGATTTGTTACCTGCAATAGATAACTGGAACACCCTATTTCCCTCCCTAGTATTTTAAGGAATCGGAAGGAGGAGTGGTCTTAGTGACAGTTAAAGTAAAAGGCCTCTTATATTTGGACCAAAATGATTGGCTTTTGAAACTGGGATATTTTGTCCCCCATTGTGAGATCCTGGATTCTAATTCTGAGGTAAGAGGAAACTTTTTTTTTTCATTA